AAAACTAGAAAAGGGCTTCCCAATTTATATATAGTTGGAGAACGTTTGCTTGTTTAGAGTATCTGTGAGAGAAGGACACTCTCGAAAGTTTTACAAAGTTCTCTCTCTCTCGAAAAAAGAAGGAGAATATCTCATCTGTAACACTTTCCCTCACGAACGCGAGGGAGGATCTCTTCAACGACGACGATTCCTTTTCTTCTTCTCGTTTATTGTAGTGATTCCGAATATTCCAGACAATGCCCGATGGGCACAGAATGGGGTGACAGTTGCTGGAGACCATGGACGAGGCAATGCCACCAATCAACTCTACTACCCTGAAGGTCTCTTCGTTGATGATGATCAAACAATAGTCATTGCTGACACGTGGAATCATCGTATCATCCAATGGAAGATAGGTGATACGCATGGACAAGTAGTAGCAGGTGGCAATGGCGAAGGAAATCGATTGGATCAATTGAAATATCCAACCGATGTGTTGATCGACAAAGAGACGGATAGTGTCATTATTTGTGATTGGCTGAATCGACGAGTCGTACGATGGTCTCGTCGTAATGGCACAGCTCAAGGAGAAATCATCATCAACAACATCACGTGCTGGGGATTGGCCATGGATGATCAGACATATCTCTACATCTCTGACATCAGAGAACATGAAGTAAGACGATATCAAATAGGAGACAAGAATGGAATTATTGTAGCTGGTGGTAATGGCGCAGGTGCTGGTCTCAATCAACTCGACTGGCCGACCTGTGTCTTCGTCGATCGACAACACACTGTCTACGTGTCAGACAGCAACAATCATCGTGTGATGAAATGGAATAATGGTGCAAAAGAAGGAATTGTCGTAGCTGGAGGTCCAGGCAAAGGGAATACATTGACACAATTGTCGAATCCTTACGGACTGTTCGTCGATACGTTAGGTACCCTCTATGTGGCAGACTGGCCGAATCATCGAGTGATGCGTTGGCCTGAAGGAGCAAAACAGGGCACTGTCATTATGGGTGGAAATAGCTCAGGAGCAGAAGCTAATCAGTTCAACTGGCCCAGAGGTTTGTCCTTCGATCGATATGGCAATCTCTATGTCGTCGATGAGAATAAACATCGTGTTCAATGTTTTTCAATCGAATAGACTCAAAACGATGGATTATTTTTTTTCTTTTCTTTCTCTCAAATACATCACGTTGAATTGATGAAAGGAATGGTTATTCTATTCGCGCGCGCGCAGCCAGGAATCATCCTGGTGAAGCCGTAGCGAGCGTGACGCTCATGCATGCACGAGACAGACTCAAATCATTCACATCCCTCCCACTCGAGAAATGTGTCAATGAGTCTGGGGAAAGCGCAATCGTGTGCCACGGACACCAAAGCAGTTCCTAGTCGAGCTTTTAGGAACTACTCGGAAGTCCTTGAGGGTGTTGGTGTGGGTGTGGGCAGTAGTGTCAAACTGGAAACTTGAAGTCAATTACTAAAAAGCAATCTCTACTATTAAACTGTTCAATTATTCATTTAACAAATAGTTCAACCTCAAATATTCCTGACACAAATAAATGAATACTTGAATAGTTAAACATCGACTACTTCTGTAATAAATATTGAAACGTTAAATAGTTGGGCTTCAAGTATTTCTTAAATGAATAATTGAATACTTGAACATATGTGTCAAATTTGAAACTTGAATTAAAGTATTCAATTGTTGAACAGTTGAAGTTCAATTACTCAATTATTTATTTTAGGAATAGTTAAACTTCAAATATTAAATTATTTATTTCATGAATAGTTGAAGCTCAACTATTCAAGCATTGACGTATTCATTTGTGAAATAGTTGAAGTTCTACTATTCAATCATTAATTTCAGGAATAGTGGAAGTTTAACTATTTACCTATTTAATTATTCATTTAAGAAATAGGTGAAGTTCAGCTATTCAATAATTCAATTATTCGTCTGAGGAATAGTGGAAGGTCAACTATTTAAGTATTCAACTGCTCAATCATTTCTTTTCTTCGCATTTACAACTGCTGCGTTCACATGTATGTGCTTGTGAATGTCCTCTATAGCCTTAGTCCTTTATTGACACCCACGCCAACTGTGAATAATTGAATAGTTAAACTTAAACTATCCCATAATTGGATTCTTGAATGGTTGAATAATTGAACTTCAACTTTTCTTTAAATAAATAATTAAAGGATTGAATAGTTGACCTTCAACTATTCCTGACATGAATAATTAAATTCAAGTTGCAGGTTTCACATATATGAAGCTGTTGTAATTTATATGTAAAATAAGTTTAAATAATGATAATTTGTCCCGATTTTTAAATATGAAATATAAAGAAATTATCCTTATGTCTTTTTTAATACAAATTTTTTTGGTCAATGTTAGAAATGTCAATTTATTTTCATTTTCAATTTCTCTTATGTGAAGATTATAACAGCAATAATGTAAATTTGAAATAGACGCATAGCATTAGTAATTATAATTTAGATCGAAAAAATAACACTCATAATCTATATTTTTTCATTAGAGATTACCGTCATTCATATTTAAAAATAAACATAAACTAAGATGATTCATATTTATTTGAAATATGATTTTTTTTCATTATTTCAGGGATGTCAATTAGTACTCAGTTTGGATTTCGTTTGTGTGTAAACTAACTAAGGAGTAAATAAAAATTGAAATGAATAAAAAATATTTTTATAGTTTATATATATAAATGAACATAACTTTTCATCATTTTTATGTTTTTTTCATATATAATTTGTCTCCTAATTCATTATATCTAAAAGTTCTTTTCGACTTAATTTACAATTCATTAAACTTTAATGAAATAAATTGTTCTGTTCATTTTTCAATCTTTTATCCTGGTGAAGCAAACGAAGAAGAAAAAGGGTAAACACGATGTGAGATTCCAATTTTGTATATAAACCTGAAGAAATTTTCTTGTTTTCATGTAGTGATAGAAAAAACAATCTTCTATTTTATGTGTTATTTTATTACTCTTTAACTAATATCACAATAATGAAACTTCAACAATTTGTTCGTCTCCTCTCTTTTTCACCTTTCTTTCACAACTCTGCCAACTCTTTGTTCTTCAAGCATATTAGAATGTAAAAACAAATAACAATGATAGAACAGAAAAAAATACACAAAGAAGTCTAGGAAGTTCTTCTCTCATCAAACGTTCACAATAGTCACTTTAGTTATTCACAAACAAATCGATTTGTTGGATTCATATATCGAATCGTTTGTCTGTGAATTCAATACTAGGGTGACTCCACTTTTTCTTTTTTTATCTATTTTTAAAAAACAAACAAGCAAAAAAGACATGTGCACAAAAGAAACAAGGCAACTACTTTAATATGTATGCTTGTATGTATGACTAAGCCTTAGAACGCAAAAAAACGTAAAAGAAAAGAGTAGAGAAAAAACAAAGAATAAAAGAAAGAATACATATGGAAGATATTATGATCTAATGTTGTTGTTCAATCATACACAAAAATATTTCTTATCGACGTTCTATTATGTTATGACTTGAAAAATAATCGAATAGCACGCAAAATCGGGAGCGTTGCTGCTATCAGTACATGAAATCAAGACAATGTCTTCGAATTTGATGTACAGATATACAATACCTCTACCACCCAACTCCGATCGATCTAACTACTACATGATATATAACTGAAGCATGCATATAACAAAGACAAAATCAAAATACATACCTTGGTTATGCTTATTAGTGCGAGAAATTTCATTAACCACGATGCGAATGATGCTTTATTATGAAGAAGCTGTTAAAATGTGAAATACTACAGCAAAAGCATCCATTTATATACATTCAGAAATCTGCTTGATCGATATACAGTGATCTGTATACATCAAGCATCAACGAATGAACTTGAAAAAACGTACGTTGATTTTTTTCTCACGAGCAGTTTTTTGACACCAACATTTTTCTTCAATTAACATTTGCTCCACCCATATCTAATATTATTTTGCTTGTTCTTTACCTTTCTGTTCGAGCAGTTTAATCGATGCGCATATACACAAAAAAAACTGCCTACAAACTTTATTGTTTCATTACTCAGTTGTATGTGAATCGTGGTTACGGTATTGATACAACTGGTATTTTTGATTTGACAACCCAAAATGAAACCAAAATGAAATCATCGTACCAGTGAAAAAATCCTTCGGAACTTCATAATACAAAACGAACGAAACTCTAAAATTTTCAATTGAGAAGCGTCGATTGAAATATAATCATCAGCAGTGAATAAATAACTATAATCATAGTTGAGACGTATTATTTGGAACTGTATGATTAGATGTCATAATGGATGCTATCATCGTACTTCAGAGGCTTCATTTACAGTTTTATCAACAAAAGCTTTTTCAACATTGTTATCATAGTAGATAGACTATTTGTGAACATATATCACTAGAAGTTCATTTCACACTAATCCTTATACTTTAAAAGTACACATTTGAAATTGATTCGCTCGATCTAGACTAGAAAAAATCACCGTACTTAAACAACAATCATTTGAACTCCATGACTCAGAGCCAACCAAAAACCAGCTATTACACTTATCGAAGTATTACTTCCCATTTCAGTATTCACACTCGAATAGAAACCAGTTCTTGTACTCATGAAAATATTCTTTGGCATATGATGCTGTGAAATGCATTGAAAACCAACCATCAAAAGTCTAAAAGAATAATTTCCAACTTTTCCAGTGAACTGGATTAAAAAGAGTTCATTTTAACGATTGAAATATTACTTCAGATTTATAACTCAAAATAGAAAAAAATCGCACGCAATCACCTATTATGAAGTATTTTTAGGCCCAAGGTAGATGGAACATGAACCACCATGGTTTCGTAGGATTTCATTCATATTTTTTCAGTAAAGTCAATTTAAAAAAGGATTCTTCTACTATACTTTAAGTATTTTTGAGAATCCTACCACCGCAAATTGATCAAAAGCATGTCATCGTGTTCAATAAAATAATAATTCGAATATTATGAATTGACATGCATGAAAAATTGATCATGCTAAGGCTTAAACTGTTATTCGATATTATTTCGACCAACTGAATGAAAAAGAATTCATTCTAATATTTAAACATTATTTCAAATTTATAACCTAAAGCGGGACAAAAAACTCCTATGCCATCACGTATTATTGACTATATTATGACACAAGATCGATTGAAAATTAGTCATCGTACTGGATAAAGTTTTAATCACAACTTCTTCACCTGAGTCGATTTAAAAGCAATTCTTCTGCTACTTTTTTTCCGGCTTTTACCTCCTAAAGCGAATTAAAACACAGCAATGTACTCCTAAAAACTTTATTTCGAATATCATCAACTGAAATGAAATGAAAATTAATGATCAAAAGCCTGAAACTATTACCCCGAATGCTTCCACACAACTGGTTTTGAAAATGGTTCATTTTAAAGACTAAAATATCATTCCAAGTTTCCAACTCAAAAATTCAATCCAAACAACATAGTACTTGATCCAACTTTACTTAGAATATACTGAACTCATTTGCATGAAAATCAATCATGAAAAGGCTTAAACGAATAATGGGAACTTTCATGAAACTCGAGTGAAAAGAATTTATTCTAAAGATTCATTTATTATTTCAAATTTTAAGCCAAAAAAGAGTAAAAAAAATTGTCCTCTTTTACCTCGTATTGCGAATATTATAACCTAAGGTGAGCGAGTAATGAATCATCATTGTTGGTAAAGTTTTATTCACAACTTTTTCACCTGAGTCAATTCAAAAACAAGTCTAGCACAACAATAGGTTTTTCTTTAGAATTTCATCAATTGAAGTGAATTACCAAGACAGCATCACTATCAATAACATATTATTTACAACATTATGAACTCTAATGCATTGAAAACGAATCATGAAATGGCA